GAATTATTTTCAGTGTAACACTTTAATTCCTTTAAGAATATTTTTGTTACATTTAAATTTTTTCTAGTGCTTTCTCTTAGTGCTTAACAGAATAAATTGATCCTAATGTAACCCAGTGAGATATAATGCTACTCCTATGTAGCTGTTTTCTCTTCCTCTTTTTTTCTGCATGTTTGTGAGTACATATATCTAAAACCAAATAATATATTATAATCATTACCTTGCTTATTAAAGAAGCTAAGAAGAGAAAAAAACCAAGTACATATTTGTGGAAGTCACTATATTTACTTATTTATTTACCAGACACCCTGACGTTCTTATTGTCTTTCAAACATCTACTAAATTGTCAGGTATTTATTTTTTTATCTGGGAGCTTGAATACATTCTAATGAAAATAAAGTTTAATATTAGTGGAATAAATTTTTTTTCCTAAACGTATTTTCCTGTGTGTAAACTGACAGTTCCTGTCCTTCATTTCATCTATTGAGATTTTCATATTATTCTGTGAAAATTCTTTTTTTAATATTTATTTTTTAGTTGTAGTTGGGCACAACTACAGTGTGGTGCTGAGGATCGAATCCAGGGCTTCACACATGCTAAGCAATCGCTTTACCGCTGAGCCACAACCCCAGCCCTCTGTGAAAATTCTTCATATCTGGGCTGGGGATGTGGCTCAAGCGGTAGTGCGCTCGCCTGKCATGCGTGTGGCCCGGGTTCAATCCTCAGCACCACATACAAAGATGTTGTGTCTGCCAAAAACTAAAAAATAAATATTAAAAAAATTCTCTCTCTCTCTAAAAAAAAAAAAACCAAAATTCTTCATATCCTAGTTTTAACCATTGTCATATTGGAAATATTTTCCCCAGTCTACTTATTTTTTCCTTGTAGAAAATTAACTTTTTAATTTTCATTACTTTCAACTTTAGAAACTTGTTATACTTCAAAGATCTGAAGGAAATTCTATTTTTTTCATGTCACTAACATGTGTCTAAGCTATACATAGTCTACGAAATCTGGAAACATAACTAAACATTTTCTTCTTTTTGTAGAATGAGCCTCTGCATTATTTCCTCTGGATGTGTTAGAGATGTAGGTTGTTCAAAGACATAAACCTTCTGTAGCTGTGTGCCACAGCTTAGGCAGGGAGTGGTGCAAATAACAGTTAATGCAGCTTTCCACAGCACACTGACCTCTGTGCTGTTGATAAAGGACAATGTACTTGAACATTTCATGTAATGTCACATATATCATACACAGGAATGTAGTATCAACATACCATTTAATATTATAATTGTCTCTATTTCCAAACTTGATAGCTACTCTGTTTTTTAACTCACATAATCACATTTTGATTTTGCCCTGATTAGATTTAAATTGACGTTCCTAACAATTTGCTTACCAGTTTTCCCAATACTGTTTATTAAAGAGAAATAAAAGGAACTGGGGTTGTAGCTCAGTGGCAGAATGCTTGCCTGGTATGTGAAAGGTGTTGGGTTCAAACCTAGCACTGTTAAAAAAAATGATGTTTTTTTTTTTAATAGTAGAGACATGAAAGCTCAATGTAGCTCCTGATCCTAGACTAGATTTTGTATTAGAAAGAAAAAATACTGACATAAAGGAAAACATTATAAAATACCAGTATATTAAAGTCGGTTGACAAAAATTGAAATTGGGGCTAGGAATGTGGCTCAGTGCTCAGAATGTGGTAGAGTGCTTGCCCAGTGAGGCACTGAGTTTGAGTCTCAGTACTGCATATAAATAGGTGAATAAAATAAAGGCCCATCAACAACTAAAATAAAATAAAATTTATATATATATATATATATATATATATATAATTTTTTAAAAAAGATATATGAATTGTAACAAGACTAAATTTATCAAAACTGGGTCAGGCACCATGGTACATGTCTGTAATCCAGCTACTTGAAGGCTAAGGAAGGACAACTGTAAGTTTAAGGCCAGCCTCAGCAACTTAGTGACTCAAAATAAAAAAATAAAAGCGCCCTGGGTTCAATTCACAGTACCAAAAAAAAAATTGAAATTAATGCTGACTTGTGGTTATGCAGAGAATTTCTTTAGTTTTTGGAAGTACATAATAATCATGATGCATTATTACTTAATCTTAGGGGCTGGAAATCTAAGTTCATGGAAGAGTGCTTGCCCAGCATATGTGAAGCCCTGGGTTCTATTCCCACCTTTGTAAAAAAATAAAAACAAACCTTACCTTCGAATGGATTCAAAAACAACCCCAGAACATGAAAAACAAAATAAATCCCACATACATAGAGAATAGTGGTTTTTAACAAGGATGAATTGCTGATGTTCAGAGACATTTTGGGGAGGGGGTGAATGCTGTAGAGGCAGGGATGCTGCCAGACACCCTACAATGCACAGGACATACACCCACCCCCATGATAGAGAAATACCTGGCCTCAGATGTCAATAGTACCAAAGCAAGAAACTCTAATATAGAGAAAGTAACTAATAGAACAAGAGGGGTAAAACGTCACTAACATGTGTCTAAGCAAAGTGATCCGAGTGTTAAGATTTTTCCTAAACTTGCACCTTTTTTCTTAATTTCCAAATAAGAAGTTTTTTTAAAAACCCACTTTTTAAAATGTTTTGATATTTACTTTTTCATTCATTAAATCGTTACAGGAAAAATGGACCTATTTTGGGGTTCTTCATTCTATTCTCTGATAGACTTATTTTCTCCTAGTGCCATATTCTTTTCATTTCTGGTCTGTGTAATACAAGCAACTCATCCCAATATCAAAAGAACATCTTATAAAATATCTATACATGCATACATACATATATGTGCACTTATATTTTTGTGATTTTTTTTCCAAATTAATTTTAACTTTTTTCTTTAAAAAAAAAAAAGTAGTAGTTCAGGGCTAAGGATGTAATGAAACACAGTGGTAGAGCACTTGCCTAGCATGCACAAAGCCCTGGGTTCGCTTCTTGGAAAGGGTGGGAGAAAAGGAAATTGGAATCCTGAGCTGGCAGTCTTTTATCCAAAATGGCAAGTCCCACATTTCTTTGGGTGAATAACATCCTCTGCAGACTTGGAGCAGTGAGCATTTCTGGTTAAGTAACTCAACTATCAAAGTGCATAAGAACAGTTCTTAGGAAATTACCTAGGCAAGGCTTTTAATATGTGCACATTAAATGTGCCACATAAAAGATAATGGGGTTAGCTTGATTATCTTCCAGGGGAATGAACTGAGGAAGCTGGAGGAGTGACTCTAGATGTGAGCACCACTCTGGCCCTTCCAGCTTTTCAGAGTCATCCAAAAAACAAAGTGATGCTAAGCCACACAGGGATCGAACACATCTGGATAAGAACAATGTGCTACAACACAGTTCCAAAGCTTCATATGTGATAAACATGGTTTGTGATTTTTAAACCATGTTTAAGCCTCAGTGAATTTAAAGTGAAACATAAACATATCCATCATAGATGCCCTTCTCTGCCAAGGATTTGGGGGTCTCTCTGGAATATAGCTGAAAACCAATGAATCTATGAGTTAGAAACTTTATTTCTCTTCTGCCCTATTTCTCTTTATTAATGATTTATTTGAAAGTAAAGCAGAATGTAAATATGTTCACAAAGATATGTGTTGAGCTATAAAATAAATGTCACATAAAAATAATTTTTGTAGTCAGCCAAGTGCTATGGTATGGATAAGGTTTGTCCCTGCTAAGACTGATGTTGATATTTGATTCACAATGCAACATTATTGAGAGCTGGTGGCCTGTAAGAGGTGATCAGTCATTGAGAGGGACAGTGCAGCTCTGACAGGTTTGGATTAGTTATCACTAGAATGGGTTGTTTTAATGTGAGGTTGTTCCTCGTGTTTGGCCTCCTTCACTTTCTGCCACAAACTCAAGTAACATGGGGCACTTGCCTGAACCTGGACTTTCCACTACCATGAACCAAAATAAAATCTCTTTTATTTAAAAATTACCCAGTCTCAGGAATTCCATTTGTGATATTTGACAACTGGCAACCTTCAACTCCTCTCCTTTTCCCTACTTCTGGGAAATATGGTAAGAAAGCCTGTTCACATTCTCTGTCCCTGGATTCCCTGAACCTTTGGTGTGGGCAGATATTTCAAACCATGAAAGACTCAGCTTCAGTGTGCAAACCTTCAAAAGCACACACCTACAGGAAAAACCCAAAGCACTTTCAATTTTTTTTTTTTTTTTTTTTTTTTTTGGTACTAGGCATTGAACTCAGTGGCACTCTACCACTGAGCCACATCGCCAGTCCTATTTTGTATTCTCACTGAGTTGCTTAATGTCTCGCAGTTGCTGAGGCTGGCTTTGAACTCACGATCCTCCAGCCTCAGCCTTCCGCCTCAGGCTCCCGAGCCAGTGGGATTACAGGCGTGCACCACTACACCCGGCAGCACCCTTCAAACTCGTTTTCACACAGCACCAAATGAGAGCCCCTTTTGGGGGGTGGGGAGTGGGGGATCCTTTGCTACTTACTGTGTGAATCATAAACCTTATTTTATGTACATTGGTACCCATGAGTAATTTGTCCCAACCTATATAATTTCATAGAGTAATGTGGGGCACTGTCCAGAGTCCAGCAAAGGATGCTAAACACCCAAATAAAACACCATTGACACATTTTGCTTCGTGCTTTCTCAGAATAACTTGCCAGGGTGTTAAGGAAGACTCTGATTTCTAAGAGATTTTCCAGGGCAAAGCACTTGAGAGTGAATAGCACCAGATTCACTGGTAACCTTGAATAAGTTGGAATTTAAAGTACACTAAAGTAAATCCTAAGAGAAGGGTTAATAATACACAGAACTACATTTGAAGGAATAAAATTAAATGATATAGAGTGGAATTTGAAGCCTTATCTTTACTTAGAATTTTCCTTTCTTTAAAAAAAAAAACAGAAACACATAAAACTGAAAGTTTTTTAACATAATCTAAACTACACATCCAATATCAAAACACAGAATCTCAGCTCTCACCCGAATGGCACTCCAAGCGCACCCAGGGGAGTCACCAGGACCGTGGGGACTGCCGTGTAAGCCAGGAAGTTTCCAATCTGGCCAACAGCCACTGTCAAGAGAATCACAAGGACACTACTTGCAATTACAGAGCTCACTTTTAGCACTGATCACAGAGTTGAATTTTGCAAGGCCTTGCTCTGAAAGGGCTACTTCTTTTCCACTGCTTGTGAGGAAGCAAATCTGGGTGTCACTTATGTTTCAGGGTCATGAGAACACAGAGCAGATCCTGCAGCTTCACTGGTGTAGTTAGCCAGGGAGAAGTTCCAGCCCTTTAGGGAAACAGCCAATGTAACTGGCAGTAACTGGCAATAAGTGCAATACCGAGTACATTCCTTAACACATCCTTGTAGGTTTTTAAAAAAATTTATATAATTTTAAAACACTACTTTTAATATAATCTTTAAAAAATCTTATTTTTAAAATTCATTTTTTAACTGAAACATACAAATTGTATATATTATGGGGTACCATGTGATGCTCTGACACATGTATACAGTGTGTAATGTTTAAATTAAATATATCTATTTACTTGACCACACAACATTTCTTTATGGTATAAACACTAGAAATCCTTTCTTCTAGCTTTTTCAAAATATGCAATGTTATCACTACCTACAGTCACTCTACTGTACAATACTGTGCAATAGAAAACCAGACCATCTTATTCCTATCTAACTGCATTTTAGTATTCATTGATCAGCCTCTTCCCAAGTTGGGTAGACCTTCCATGTGGCCTGAAACCCACTCTAGAGAAGGCAGCTGGCCACAGGGCTGAGTTATTGGGCCACCAGGTAAAAACACTGCTATCTGCACAGGACTGCCCCAGGGGCTCCATCCAAAGAGAGTCTGAGGGAGAGTCCTTCAACCTGAGAGTACTTAAAGGGAAGCTCTTTAATGAATAGTATCAGCCTTGGCAGGTAATTTCTTGCTCAAAAGATAATATATAACAAGTAAACCACATGATATTTCTGAAACCTCTAATACAACTGTCCTTTACATTCTTACAGTTCTGAACTCTGATTTTGTTATTTATTTTTATATTATAGCACATGACCTCTGATCTGGTCTCTGAGTTGAGTCAAGAAATGCTCCTTCTCAAATCAAATGTGTTGAGCAAAATGAGGCAGCTTAACACATGGAATTCCACCAAAAGCCATCAGACCGGCTATGGATGACTAAGCAGGCCCAGGGCAGGTTCACCCAGACCAGAGTCAGGAATAAGCATGGGCAGCAGGAGCCTCTGCTGTCTCCTTCCTGGTAGTCATTCTACACCATTCCATGAACTCCCTTCCAAAAAAGGAAAGGACAAAGGGGGTAAGGCCAGTGACTCTCAGGAGGGAGTGGGTGGCATCATGGATATTCAAAGCCTAGGAAGAGGAAGAGTGACACCCTCCTCCAAAAGACAGAGCCAGACTCATCTGCTGGCTCCAGCCCTGCCCAGATGAATGACTGACCTTCAGAGAGAAACAAAAAGACCAGACTTCACCACCAGGGCAACTTACTTGCAATTGTGCCGGCCCACCACACGATGTCTGTTAAATAAGAGGTACCTACAGAAGAATGAGAAAAATGTCATGTAAGTAGGTTTGTAAGATACATATGTCAGGGGCCGGGATTGTGGCTCAGCGATAGAGTGCTTGCCTAGCATGCATGAGGCACTGAGTTTGACCCCCAGCACCACATAAAACAAATAAAATAAAGGTAGTGCCCATCTACAATTAAAAGAAAAAAAGATACATATGTCATTAAGTAGGAGGTTTATAAGCAACTAACTTAAAAGAGCAATCATCATGTGAAAACTAAAATTGAAAAGAATAATGAATGTCATGCTGTTTATTCACCCTATAAATAATCTTTAGTCTATAAATAGCAAGATGACAAACCACTAAATATAGCAAACATATTTTTTGCAACCAACACAGGCTGACCTAAGAAAACAGATGAAAGCTTTATAAATTAGTTTTCTTGGCTCAGCAAGCCACTACAGAGACACGAGTATTCTTTGGAATGGAGTTTTACATCACTCCCAAATGACACAGTCTTTAAAGTCCAACTCTCTCATGCATTTACTGTAACCCATTTATATGATAATTTTACTATTATAGGGTTCAATGACTTCCTCCTTAAAGTGGTTACTCAATTTTCCTGATTTAGAATCCTTCTGCTATAGCTCTTTTTCAACCACTTGGGCACCAGATCCTTCTAGCCACTCAGTGTGTTGACACTTTACATCATTATTACCTTGTATTCTCTTGTCATCCTCACATATCCCCAAGCAGAGCAGGCAGAGGTGAGGACAGTCTGGCCTTCCCATCACATTCATTGGTTCTTGTCTCATTCCTTGGGACAGGCACTTAGTGAGAGGGCCTCCCAACCTTTGGGACCTATTGTCCTTCGTTAGCTGACACAATGTTCCTATTCTGATTGCTTTTCCTGATTAAAATTCCCAATTATAACTGGATTCTTTTTTTCTAACTGGACTTTTAAATTCTCAATAGTAACCACAAGAATTTGGAAGAAGAAACAGAAAGCCTGCCTGCTTAATATTCGGGCAGAGCTACAAGTATTACAATAAGTACTTAAAAAGCAAAACAGGGTCATTAAGTAATGTTTGAACTGGACGAGGTGGTATGTTCCTGTAGTACTGACAGTACAGTTTGAGTTCCGGAGTTCAAGGCCATCCTAAGCAACTTAGCAAGACTCTGTCTCAAAATAAAAAATTAAAAGAGCTGGGGACATAGCTCAGTGGTTAGGTACCTCTGGGTTCAATTCCTAGTACCAAAAAACAAACAAACAATGATAATGATAATGACAAATAAAGACTGAATAGGAGGAATATCACCATCTGACAGCATCATAATAAAAACTGATTCAGGAAAGAATCAGTGGATACTAAAAGAAGCCAATGAAAGCATCTGTTTTCTTAGGTCAGCCTGTGTTGGTTGCAAAAAATATCTTTGCTATATTTTTATCTTGTTTGTTTCAGAACAAGATTGTCAATGAATTACTTCCATAGGTCCTTTTTATTTTTATTAATTAATCACAAAAAGAAAAAGTTATTTTGATGCTAGAAAAGTCTGGCAGACATCAACTTATTAACCAAATGGTCACAGTTAACATCACCAGTGTTACAGTTTAGATACGAGATGCCCCCACAAAAGATGGTGTGTGAGGGCTGGGGCTGGGGCTTAGTGGTATATGCTTGCCTAGCATGTGTGAGGCACTGGGTTTGATCTTCAGCAGAACATAAAAATAAATAAATAAGGGTACTGTGTCCACCTACAACTGAAAACAAAAAAATTTAAAGAAAAGCTCACGTGTGACCCAACAGATGTTTGAGGTCAGAAACCATACGTGCACTAAGTGTTTGATTGCCTTGCAAAACAAAGACCCCCTTAAATATATATTTTTTTGGTTCAAAAGACCAAAACCCCTGTTAATAAAAGAATCATAATCTTAAAAAAAAAAAAAAGCTCATGTGTGAGACAATGCAAGAAAGTTTAGGGGTAAAATGACTGGGTTATGAGAATTTTAATACAATCAGTGAATTAATTCCCTGATAGAGATGAACTGGGTGATAACTATAGGCAGGAAGGGTATGGCTGGAGGAGGCAGGTCCCTGGGGGTGCCCCTTTGGGGTTTATCTTCTGTCCTTGTTGAGCAGAGCTCGYTCGCTCTCTGCTTCCTGGTGCCATGTCTGAGCTGCTTTCCTCCACCACACCATTCTGCCATGATGTTCTGCCTCAGGCCCCAAGGAATGGAGTCAGCCATCTTTGGATTGAGACCTCTGAAACTGTGAGCCCCAAAATAAACTTTTCCTCCTTAAAATTGTTCTCATCGGGCCTTTTGGTCATAGCAGTGAACAAGCTGACTAAAACAACCAGCGATGGGATTTCAACATCAAGTGCCTCTCTGTGGGTGCATTGAGAAGAACTTAACAGAACATCCATCACATTCCTGCCAAAGGCACAGCCTGAAAACAATCACAAGGAGACATCAGACAAACCTCAACTGTTTCACAGCTGTCCTTCATCCTTCAAAACCAGCAAGGTCATGAAGAAAAAGAAAGGCTGAAGAACCATCACAGGTTAAAACAAACAGAAGATCCAAGGTAACTAAATGCAACAGCTGAGGCAAGACTGCGGGAATAGGTTGCCATCAAGGACAGAACTGGGGTACTGGCAAAATCTGAACACGGACTACCGTAGATAAAGGATTAATGAAACTCCTCTCTTTCTATGTGAGATTTTGACTTAGAGTTCATGTTCTGGCTCCAAAATGTCAATAGCCATGTTGCCAGGCAATGGGCACATATGGCAAAAAATGACCTCTGATGGGCAGACCGCACCTGGAATAGAGGCCTGTGAACCTGTGGTGTCAATTCCATTGCTTGTGCCCCCAAAGCCATGACTACTATGCCGTCTGGAGCTCCCTCTGTGACTGTTACACTGGGTGCATGAGGCTTCTAAGTAGGACAGCTGAGCCACCTGCAGGCTGCAGCTGTGTATGCAGGCCCTGAGCCATGCTCTGCCTCTGCTGCCAGGCTCCAGCTGAAGAAGAGGCCTGACACTGCTGGGGCTCCTGTCTTGGGCCCTTGTGAGTGTGTATGATGCAAATGTGCCTCAGGATGTCCCATGACTCAAAAGTTTAGCAAAGCCTGAATGATAAACACTGCAGAACAGTTATCAGCCATCAGTACGTAATCAACATTATTTTTTTTCATTCCTAATCTTGTATTTCTTGAGTATGCTAACCACACAATGGCTATTTACACCCCCAAAATGCATGCTGAATAGTGACAGGTCATGAGAACCACTCCAGAATACTAGAATAAAAGTCTGGTAGACCAGTTTCCCCATAAAACCCCATCATTAATAAATAAAGTGATTAAAGTCTCTGGAAATTGTCCAAAGGGCATACAGTATATATCTTTTTATCAATTCCTGACTTTAGACTTTGAGTCTTCCTTTTGGCTTGGTCAGTCTAGTTGGCACTACGGAGGATGGTGGAACCCTTTAGAGGTGTGGCCAAGTGAGAAGTCTTAAGTCACTGCTGGCCTGCCCTTGAAGAGGACTGGTGTATGCTGGTCTCTTCCTCTCTCTTTTCTTTTTCTTGCTCCCTTGCCACCAAGAGGTTAGCAGCTTGCTCTACCACATCCTCCCACTATTACATACCATCTCACCATAGAACCAAAGCAAGAGGGCCAACTGACCCTGGATGGAAACCTCCACAGCTCTGAACGAAAATAAACCTTTCCTCTTTTTTAAATTGATCATTTTAAGAATTTTGTTACAACAACAGAATGCTGACTAACAAAACTGGTTGGGGCATTTAATTTGTATAATTTCAATTAATTGATGTCTATTCTATGGCCTTGTATATGATCTTTCAGAGAATATTCTATGTCCAGTTGAGAAGGTGCATCTTGCTGTTATCAGATAAAGTGTTTTACAGAAGTCTGTTAGGTCTAGTTGGCTTATAGAGCTCCTTTATTTCCTTATTGATCTAATAAAGGATAGCAATTTTACTATCCTTGATTGAAAGAAGGAAATGAAGGTTCCCAACTATTATTGTTCAACTGCCTATTACTCTCTTCATGTCAGTTTTTGCTTTATGTATTTGGGGGCTCTATTGTTAGTTGCACGTGTGTGTGTGTGATATGTGTGTGTGTGTGTGTGTGTGTGTGTGTTTATAGTGCTGGAGATTGAATGCAGAGCCTCAGCAAGCACTCTACCATTAACTTCACCCTCAAAACTTCATGTATATTTTCAATTGACATGTCCTTCTGCAAGGATGATGTTACTATTATAAAATATCTTCCCTTTATCTCTGGTAACAATTTTGTCCTAAAGTCTGCTTTATCTGTTATTAGTATAGCCCCCCCCCAGCTTTCTTTTGTATATAAGTAGATATTCCTATTCACTATTTTAAATAACTGTTAACATATTTCATCCTACTACAGTATCCTGAAGCACACTTTGAATAATTACATAGTAATTTACTCAATGGCTTTTCAATGATCTATATATATAATTTTAAAAAGATAACAGGGACTTTAGAACTGAGGAAGTGATCACAATCTTTCCTCTTAGAGTCTATGTTTAAGGCAAGGAAGAGAAAAAATTGTCTCCTTTTGTTGTGATGAACATGATTTGGGCATGATTTCTTATAAAGTCATGGGAGCAGATGACCTATAGTGACCCTCCTGCAATCAAAGGTGGCCCAAGGATATCAGTAGCCAGAGAAATGGGGCCCAGGACTCTCCCTTTTCACTACCAAGGTTTTCTCAACGCCACTGATCATCATATAATACATGCTTTCAGTGGTTTGAAAGTGACTATGTTACCAAAATGGGAAAAACCTGGAATATAAGGTACCTAGGAATGAGGAAGTGACAGAACTTTGTTCTCTCTTTATCATAGGGTTCTGTTAAGTTCCAAGTATTACATGTTCTCCAACTCATGCTCCCAAGCAGGAACTTGGAGTTGTTGAAATATAAAAGTTATTCAGGTCACCCTTACCTTTAAAGCCAATGTTAGGCTTAATTTTTTTTCTGCTTCCATAGATATTGAACAAGTCAGAATTTTGGGTCTAGATACCTGCTCCATAACCCAATATCTGCCTACTCTCCTAGCTGTGTATCAAAGCACATGGTCCAGGAGGAACTCAGTCCAGCAGCAAGTCCTATGCTCTGTCCTGAAGGAAGCGCACAGTTGTGTGTACCAACCTTATGGTGCCCAGCTTCCTTGCTGAGCTCATTGTCCTACATTCCCCCCTCTTTCTTCAACCAAGAGCCACTGGGAGCCTGCACTCCCTATAATGCCCCCAAACCACTGGGTTTCTTCACAGTTCTACCCTCACAGGTAACCATCCCTAAAAGCCCCTAGTCATTCAGCTGGTACTCTCAAGAGGTACCTGTTCAAGCCTCATCCGTATTTCTCATCTTTCCAGTTATCGCCTGTCCTCTTTTACTCTTCAAGTCCTCTGGTCTTAGCAAGAACAGGGAGAGAAGGAATTGAGAAAGGCCGGGGACCTTCTGTTTGTTTTCATATACTCACACCTCATGTTGCACTCAGTCCCATCTAGGGTGGGCTACAGAGGTTAACAGTAGCAAAATTCTCAGGGCTTTTTCTCTCATTGGAAACCTTGGTTGCCAAATAAGAGCTGCATGGTTGTTTGTAACAGCTGAACTATAAAACAAAGAAGTATTTGTGCAAATACAAAAGAGATTTAGGATGATAAAATCAACTGGAAGTGACACTGTACACATGAGCTGTGGCTTCTAAGACCTACCATCTAGTTATAAATGTGTGTAACGTATCTTTAAGATACAGCTTTCTAGTGTAAAAATGCAGATGGTCATCTAATTTATGTATTTAATTACAGCGTGGAAATCATCCCCACTCGTGTGTGCTCCTAACAGCAACAATAGAAGTCAATGCTAACAGCAAAGAGGAGTGGACCACTATGTCCTTTGAAATGAATGTCCTGACTTAAAAAATATGTAAAAAAGAGGGCAGGGGTTGTGGCACAATGGTAGAGCACTCACCTAGCACATGCAAGGCACTGGGTTTGATCCTCAGCACCACATAAAAATAAGTAAATAAAATAAAGGTA